CCAGTGTTCTTAGCCACTGAGCCATCTCTCCAGCCCCTTCTCCCTTCATCTTTAAGAAGCTCATGTCGGGGCTGGAGAGATGGCTCAGCAGTTAAGAGCACTAACTGCTCTTGCAGAGGACCTGGGTTCGATTCCCAGCACCCACATGGTGGCTACAAACTGTCCTTAACTCCAGTTCCAGGGGAATCTGAAGCCCTCTTCTGACCTCCACGGCATTGCACAACATGGTGTACTCACATACATGCAAGCAATGCACTCATACACATAAAAATAATTAAAAAAAAATTTTTTTTTTTTAAAAAAAAGGTCATGTCTTACCCTGAGAACAGCAGCCAGATTTGAGATTGAGCACATCTATAAATTTAAAAAACCAGGCTTGGGTGTAGTTTAGTGGTAGAGCACATGCCTAGCATACAAAAAACAAACAAACCCACAACATCCAGCCCTCTTTTACCTCTATGTTTAAAATGATGTGAGCTGAGAAATTTGGTCCTGTTCCTTTGGTCCTTCAGAAGAATGTTCCCTAATATGGCTCTGAATTTTCCAGTTGTGTATACAGCCTTCCTGGGCCCAGGCATTGTACCCTGGTATAGTTTTCTTAAAGACATTCTTAATTTTTATCTATTGCTTGCTCTCTGCATTTTCTTCCTAAAAGGAAAAAAAATGAACACCGTGCAAGTTATGGCCTTTGCATGTTAAGATGAAACAGTTTCTATGGAGATTCTAGTACAAGGCTCTGTGGTCCTTCCTGGCCTAGTCACTTCTATTCCTCTTGCTCCCCCTCCCCCTTGTTTGCTTTTTTTTAATGGGGCAGGGCAGGTTTGCACCAAACCCAGAGTGCTGCACACAGAGGGATACCCAGCCTCCCCTGCTAAGCTGTCCTCCTTCCTGTGTCTGGACATGTAACCCACGGGCAGCAATAGCTGCTCATCCCCACCTTCAGCTCATGTTTCAGGCCATGTTGTTGCAACACAGCACATGCTGTGCTTACAGAGGTCATGAGTGGCACTGTGCATTCCTCCAGTGTGTTGGCCAGCAGGATTCTGTGTTGATGTGTGTGACTAGGATGTTGACCTCTTTGGGACATAAAAACAGCTCCTTCAACAAACATCCACACCACTTATGTGTATGGGTGTATTGCCTGTGTGTGTATAAGTGCACCCCTGTCATGCAGTACCTGTGGAGATCAGAAGATGGCGTCAGATCCCCTGGAACTGGAATTACGGATGGTTGTTAGCCACCATCTAGGTGCTGGGAATTGAACTTGGTTCCTCTGAAAGAGCAGTCACTGCTTTTAACTGCTGAGCCCAGCCCCTAGAAGGTGATTTCTTAGCCTTCAACAGTGATTTTCTTGCCAGATATAATAATGTTCTACACTATGAAGACAGACAGCAGGTTCACTAGTTAAAAGCCTTGCCTGAGCTACAAGTCAGACCCTGTCTCAGGAAAACAATGAGTTGGGGCTGGGGAGGTGGCTCAGTAGGTGAAGTTCTTGCCACACAAGCATGAGTTCCTAAGTTCAGCTAACACCCACATAGAAAACTTGATGTGGCAGCATGTACCTGTAATCCCAGCACTGGAGGACACAGATGGGAGGGATGGTGAGCTCTGGGTTCAGCAAGTAACCCTGTCTGAAAAACTAAGTGAAGGGCAGTGAGTACCCAAAGCTGATTGCTAGTCAGGACACATGAATGCATGGTGCACACATCTCAGTGCATGTGCACACATGTTCCCACATGCGTACACCACACAATTGTTTTTTAAAAGATGATTTTATTGGGAAAATGGGGTAAGAAAGGATAATGGGTGAATTCAACCAAAATTAATGTACATGTGTGGAAATATGAAACCCATTACTTTGTACAATTAGTATATAATAAAAGTCCTCTCCCCCCAAAAAAGACCATTTTATTGGGCTGTGGGTGTGGCTCAGTGGTAAAAACACTTGCCTAACAAGGGTTCTGTTTCCAACACCAGTTTAAAAATGCAAATTAACATGGTTTTATGATGCAGGAAAGCAAGTTCAGCTGCTTCAGGGTTTCTCATTCACTTGAAGGGGAACATTTTCCTTTCTCCCAGATTCTGGGACTCCCCAGAAATTTAGAAATACCCTATGGAGGTGTGGTGGTGGGGTTTTGCTTTTTGTTGTGTTTTATGTTTTAGCTTTTTAAGAAATTATTAGTTTTGGTTTCTGAGTGCTTTACCTACATGTAGGTGCAGAGGCCAGAAGAAGGCATTGAATCCCCTGAAACAGGAGTTATGGATGGCTGTTAGCAGCCATGTGGGTGCTGGGAACTGAACCTGGGTCCTCTGCAAGAGCAGCCAGTGCTCTTAAGTGCTGCACCATCTCTAGCCCCAGGTATGGTGTTTTGACTAGGGCACTTCACATTGAATCTTGTTGAGACTCAGGATTTAGTGAGGTGTGGTATTAAGCAGTATCTCGCTGCCCCTCAGTAGCCAAGGGTGACCTTAAACTCTTGACCCTCCTGTCTCCACCTTCCTGTGTGCCCTATTCTGCCCATCCATCTCCACATGGAGCTGGAGGCAACTAGCTGCCCACTGGTCCTTGTGGAATGGACTTGTTTGTGTGGCTCCATCTTGGGTGGATGTTCATTGCTGCTCTGCTAGCCTACAGCAGATAAGCTAGGTTATAAGAAGATACATTTTTTTTTTGAGACTTAGTGAAAAGAGAAAATAAGGCCTCTAAACTTATGGTGAATGGGCCCTGGTGTGAAAATGCTGCCCCCTGTTGGCCTAGTGGCACCTAAGTGTTCATCCTGTGCACTGCGTGACCTCAGTGCCCAGTCACTATGAGGCCTTCCCTTTCACTTTGCTTCTGATCAAGCTGCTAACCTGGCAGATTGAGCAGTGGGCTTAGTGCTGTGAACTAGCTGGCTTTGCCACTTATCCTACCACCCATCAAGGCCCTAATTCAAAAATGGATTGATCCATAACTGCAATTGCACGGCAGCACCTGAAGAGACAGGGTACAGCCTTTGTGGCTGGGTTAGATCAGAGACCAACATAAGCTGCTGTTCCCATGGTTCTGGTGCA